TATAAATATATTAGCATACAAATATACTAAATAAATAAATTATACATTTAAGTTATATTTATAAATTTAAAACAATAAATAAAGTTTATTATTATACACATCAATTTATATCTGTTTAAATAGTGCAAAAATAATAATACTAAAAAATTTCTCAATTAATTTTTAATTTAAAAAAAAAAAAAATCAAGAAATAAATAATAAGAAACTAATTGCACAATTCTTCACACAATGTAGATAGCTGTAGAAACTAATTGCACAATTCTTCACACAATGTAGATAGCTGTAGAAACTAATTGCACAATTCTTTACACAATGTAGATAGCTGATTCGTGTATCTTTCATTCAATGAAGATAATTTTTCCTCAGTTGATTTTTTAATTTCTTCAACTGATTTAATGTAAACAGGTTTTTGAAAAATATCTTCCTCCAATGCAACATCATCTGTTTCAGCAGGTAGACTGTTAAACGATGCAGCGTTATAGTAAACATTCTTTTCGTCAATATCGAAGCTCAAATAAGAATCACCTTGAGACATTATTTTATCGAAACGCTCACGTAATTCTGTAAAAGTAGGTCGTTGTAATGGATCTTCATTCCAGCAGTGCAGCATTATATCGTACCTTAATTAATAACAATAAAAAAGATGCTAAAAAAATCAGATACAAAAGTAGACACTCCTTCACAATCGTTAAAAGAAAAAAGAAAACAAGAGATTACATTGGTTCAGAACAATTTTCTGGTCGATCCATTCTGTAGCCAGACTTTAAAAGAGTAAGAAGCTCCCGATTATTTATACTGGGATAAGGAGTACCTCCTGTAAATCAAAAAAACATAAAAAAAAACAAAAAAAATCATAATTTTTATGTGGAGGTTCTTAAATTTCTACAATACAAAGCTGAAAAATTCACCCAGCGTAACAATTTCAAATAAAAGTATGCCATAAGACCACCTAAAACATAAATTGAATAATTTACATAATTTACATATTTTAAAATTTATTAACTTATGTTTAATTTTTTTTAATATCAGCATAAATTAAAATATACAATAATATTTACACATACACATTTGAATTATAATTTAATTTCATTTGAATTAATTAACTAGCTTACACATCACTGCACGCTGTGAATATTTGATCAAATATGGCTTCAACTGACATCCACTTTATTGGTAATCGACGATTTTTATTGCTCATGTAATTCAATTCGTCATTGACTCTACGTGTAAGTCCAAAGTCAGATATTTTTAAATTTTTCTCAGCACCTACCAATATATTTCTTGCAGCAAGATCTCGATGTACCAATTTATTACATGAAAGAAATTCCTGAAATAATGGTTTAATATAATAAATTTTAATAAATGGCATCATCATATAAGCTTTTTTTATTTTTATTTTTTGTTATTAAAGTGCTCTAAGAAGTCCTTACATTCACAGAGCAGAAACTTCATATCTCTTTTTTGTCTTTTTTTTTTATTCCCTTAATAAAGTTGTAAATATGGCAAGAGCTGCCATTGAATAACAAACCAATCAGTTTAGAAGCAAGTACTATAACAACTGTGCCTTGGCTGCTCTACAAGAGGAGCAAAGAGTATACAATTGCTTTATTTATTGTTTACAAAAAAGGCTAGTAAGAATATATTAAAATTACTTGGAAATACATTAAGGGTAAAGTGACCAAATTCCAATTAGCGACTGAATTCCAACTACATTTTAAATTTAATATTCTTATTTTGGTTTCTGAATTATCTTTTTGAGCATAAAGACTGGTATGAATGAAGACAAAATTAAATAACAAATGACTAAAAGTAAGTCATACATGCAACATACTTTTATTATAAGTTTTGAACCCTAATATAAGTAGTTTACTTTTATGACCAATAAAGTAATACTTGTTTTATAAAAATTAGATAATACGGAATGAAATAAATTCATACAATAATTCCTTGTTTTTTAAAAACAGAACTCTTGTTTTATACTATTTTTACAAAAGAAATTTTGTTTTGTAAAAACAATATAAAACAATAAATGTTGTCAGGTAACATGTCAAAACGAATCTCCATGAGGATACTAGCAGACATACTTGTTAAGTAATCTTCGATTTCAAGTAATCTTTTTTTTTTTTATAAATCAATTTAATAATCTCAAGTAAAAACATTTTAAAACCAACATCAGCAACAACAAGTGCTAACCTGAGTCTCAATAAATACACAAAAGCTGCAAACTTGTCTAGTTAATGTTATTGATTTAATGAAAATAAATTGCTCGTGAGTGTTTCAAATAAGTGATTATATCCTTACAACTCATATTCAATATATTTTCTATGAGAAATAACAGTCATCAAATGTTTCTAGCAAAGTATAGCTTTTAGAATACCGTTATATATATTTTAAACTTATTCAACAATAACACAAAAAAGTATAAAATAATAAATGTAAATATTTAATCAATCAGGTAGCCTAAAATTTGATAAAGATATTTGTGTTCTTTTAGATAATCATTATAGTACGCATATTGCTTCAAGTCCCAGTTTTTAAGAATAAAAACGAAGAAAAAGAAATAATCAAGCGCAGAAACAAAAATGCCCTACTCAAAACTAATTGACTTTCACTTCCTTGAATGGAAAAAGAGTTTTTTTTAAGAAATCAGCCACATAACTTTTGAAAATTATTTATTAAGTGAAGTAAAACTTGATATAATAATATTAGAGATATCAAAACATATAATTGATATTTTGTGTAATTATTCATTCACAAAGAAAAATGCTAGTACAAGCAAACAAACAAGTAAATTAAAGAAGTCAAACAAAGTCTTCCACCTTTGTAGTCTGTAAATAAGACCTTTTGAATATAGTTTTTTTAATACAGATAGTGTAATTTTTTTTCCCACAAAAAATCTTATAACCTTTAAAAAATATATATATATAAAACCAAATAGAAATTATTCATTTTATGTATGCTAAAAATTTGTAAACATTAAAAATAACTTTGATTGTTGCAAAATTTAGCGCACTATCACACACTTGTGCTTAAGTAAATCATTTAGATTTTTATTTTAATCTTATACATTATAAGTTGCAATAAAAAGAATACCATTCCTGCTGCAACTTGCCACGCAAAACTGATCAGATCATTGGGTGTTATTAAACCAATTTTATCTAGAGGAATCTCATAGGGCATACATTCAGTAGTGCAGTTCTCACTTATTGTTGTCTAAAAAAAAATTAAATGACATTAAAAAATCTAAAGAATCAATCAATTTAAAATAATTAATTTAAAATCAATTTAAAATAATTAATAATATTGAAGTTATTAAACAACGATATAAAATAAAACCTCAAGAGTTTGTTGATAGCTTTGGGTATACATAAAGTTTACTGCTGACTCTCCATTAAGTTTGGATGTACAAAGCTGGAAAAATTAAATGCATATATAAAAATAATACTAAAAGTTTATACTGTCGGCTTAGGTCAACATTAAATGCCACTTAAGACTGGATAAAAAAAAGTAACAAATAGGGACTTCAGAACATGTATTTATTAACACTAAGGTGCATTTCAATAATAAAAAATACATAAGGTAAGGTGTCATGTCATAAAAATCCATAATATGCATAAACAGTGTTTAGTAGAGGTGGTTAAAAAATGGTTAGGTGGTTAATGGTGCTTTTTTACATGGTGCTTTACTCCCTTAAAAGCTAATTTATAAATTTTGTTATAATTAATACTTATTTACAATTAAATAAAAACTTATGATTTACAGAATAGTTAATTACAAATCACAATGATGTACATATTTTTTCATAATACATTAGTAGTAGGTAGAGATATCACCCTAGTGGGAAGTGTGATTTTGCAAAGAATTGGGGTTTTAGATTAAACATTCAAATTCAAATTTTGACTTGCCAAATTCAAATTGCACAAAATTGAAAGAGATGTTCAAAATTTACATTTGATTTAAAAGTATGTTCCTTTTTTTGTTTTAACTGAATTCACCTCTCCAAGACTGAGTGAGCCACTGCAGTAAAGGAGGCTACTCATTGCTTTTTTTATATTGTTATTAAAACCCTTACCTATCTGAACTTCATGAAAAAAGGAAAATAAAGGTAGAATAAAGCATTATTCCCTCCTAATAAAATCGCGCCTAAAAAGTAACTTTTGGAGTTTTGTTGTTTATTTATTTTACAAAGACAAAAACATATTATAAAAACAGATTCTAGTAATAAATAATTTATAAAACTGTTTAAGAACTATTGTTTGTTTATGAACTATTGTTTGTTTATGAATTATTGTTTATGAACTATTGTTTATTTATGAACTATTGTTTTATTTATGAACTATTGTTTGTTTATAAATTATTGTTTTTTTTTGAACTATTGTTTGTTTATGAACTGTTAAACTAAATTTATGAACATATTTTTTGATGGTCACCATTTTTTTGAACTAAGAGTGAATCAACACCTTTTTAATGATTTTTTATTGTATTATCTCAAATATTTAGTTCTTATTTACCTCTAAATTCTCAAATATTTAGTTATTAATTACCTTTAAAAAAAGAGTAATCATGTATACGCAAAAGCAATTTAAAAATAGCCAAGAATATTTTGCTATCAGTTTAGAATCTTTTTATCTAAATGGTACTTTTATCTGATTTTCTTAAACATCTTTAATCAACCACAAAGTTTTATTTGATGTCATACCTAATTATGCATACAACTCATAAGCATTTGCATACAAAATAAAATATAACAAAATATATGCTATGTTACATAATATTAATACTTCATATTTACCATAAAAATTGTAAATTAAAAAATTTTTAAAAACTCACTTTGGATCGCTTGTTTCTCAAAAACTGCAATAAATCTCCGTTCTCCATAAACTCAACAATCAAACATAATGGTTTTTTAATTGTAGAGCAACCAATCATATTCACAATATTTTTATGATATCCAATTCCTTTCATAAGACTGATTTCCTCTTGAAAATCATCCAACTCTGATTGGTTAGCACCATCTGAAATTAAAACAAATACTGATTTTTATTTTGCAAAATTTATTCTAATTAATTATTCTAAATAAACATAATATTAGGTATTGTTTTTAAATGCAAAGAGATGTTTAAAAACAAATAATGATAAATGCTCTATTCAACTTGGAATTTATTAAAATAATCAACATTTTAAATTAAAATTTAATATCTTTAACATTTTAAAAATAAATTTATAAATCTTCATTAAATTTAAATCTTCACTTTATTCACTCTTATTGATTTCTATGATATTCTGTGTTTTTCTATTTTTGAGTATTATATTTCAAATGGCATTTGGTGGTAAACCTAAAAATTAATTTTCTGGCACATGTAAATAATTTTTACATGTGCCAGAAAATTTCTGACTCTAGTGATCAGTTCCTTTATCTTTTATCAGTTTCAGTATCAGCAACATTAGAAACAAATTGTCAACAACATTAAAAACATATTGTCAAAAACATTAAAAACATATTGTCAACAACATTAAAAACATATTGTCAATAACATTAAAAACATATTGTCAACAAAATTAAAAACATATTTTCAACAACATTAAAAACATATTGTCAACAACATTAAAAACATATTGTCAAGAAGGGTCATAAATTTCATTTTTTATCAGGTTGTTGCATTAACCAGCTTTTTTAGTTACGCTCTTATGTTTAAAAATAGGCAAACAACTAATAGCTGTCTTTTAAGTTTGACTGTTTTTTTTTTTCAATTACAAAAAAAAAAAAAAAAAAAAAAAAAAAAAAGAATAATGTGCAAAAAAAAAGTTCTGTGGTATAAAGATAAAAAAGCAAACTTTTATTTTAAAGATTTTATAAACATTTTATAATAAATAAAAAAGTAGATTAAATGTTTCTTAAATAAAGTTAAATCTTTGTAACAATTTATTATTTATTTAAACCAGTTAAACTTATAAAATAGAATATTAGTTTTTTCTTCCTTCAAAATTAGTAAACGAATAAAATAAATGACCAATATTAATTGATTTTTCACAAAATTCATTTAGACAAACTACACTTTTTATAAGTTTCTGCATAAATGAATAATTATCAGAATCATTTGCCCAAAAATCAGGTAGACATTTCAACCATTTTGATAAGAAAAAAATTATTTCAAATATTAGCCATTAAATCTGACTTCATTAAGTTCTAAATTTTCACTTATTTCTAGCCATATCTTCTAAAAGAGTTCCACTACCTTATTTCTAGCCATATCTTCTAAAAGAGTTCCACTAACTTATTTCTAGCCACATCATCTAAAAGAGTTCCACTAACTTATTTCTAGCCATATCTTCTAAAAGAGTTCCACTAACTTTGCACGCAAACTTCGATGACTGAATTGTATTTTTATAATGGCCTCAGAATCCCATGTAAACTCTTATGATTATTATGACCAATGAAATTTTTATCGATCTTTCTTAATATTCTTACAATTTTATGTGATGATATATTAATTTGAAAATATATTCCCTAAAATAATTTAATAAATTTTTATTTGTAATTTATTTTAAATTTTAATGTCAATATTAAATTAAGTAATAAATTATTAACTTTATTTAAATCAATAATTACTTCTAAAATGAATAAAGTACTTCTGCAACAAGCGAGTGGAGTATCAGCCAAGATTTTCTGACAGCAGAAACAAAATATTAAAATATTTTATCATTACAAAGGTTAAAATATTTTTTCATGAAAATATTTATCATTAAATAAAACCTTTTATCATTACATAGCAGTTCATGATTTCAGGATGGCAAAAAATAATTATGATTTGTTTTTTATTATTTTTGTTAAAAGTTTACAGCAGTGATAAAAAATCTCTAAGAATGTTGCTTTTTTTATAGGCAATAACTTGTTAGGCAATCAATAATATGTGTTTAATGTTTGTATAATGTGTGTTTAATGTTTGTGTAATATATGTTTAATGTTTGTGTAATGTGTGTTTAATGTTTGTGTAATGTGTGTTAAATGTTTGTGCAATGTGTGTTTAATGTTTGTGTAATGTGTGTTAAATGTTTGTGCAATGTGTGTTTAATGTTTTTGTAATGTTTGTCTGGTCAAAATATTTCAGTACTTAACGTATTGATGTTGCCAATTTAAATTAAAAAGGTTATTTACACTTTATAAAGTTTAAAATATAACATTTATAGTAACATTTATAGTACTTTCCATCACTTGAATCTTACCTCTAGCAAAATTAACCAGATTTGCTTGCTCTTAGTGAGACCAATTTAAATTCTGCTATTCCTTCTGGGTATACTATCTGGATGGGTACTATCCTTTGGGATGGTACCCATTTAGATAACATTCCTTCTGAGTATACTATTCTTTTGGGTAGACTGCTAGATGGGTACTATCTATTAATTCACAAAGACTCCAATAGTCACATGCTTGGGGGTATACATACACATCAACTCACCTATTTGTCTTAAAATTAAGTTTGAATCTTTTTACCATTTTTTTACGTGATTCCACTCAGCATCTCTTTACTCTATCACCTTTCTTTCTTTCTCTTTATTGTTCACCTTCTTCAAAAGACAACCTTTTAAATATAATTTCTGATCAAATTGACCATGCCCTTTCCCTTTCCCCCTCTGCCAACATTGTTGTTATTGGCGACTTTATTGCTCATCACACTGAATGGCTTGGCTCTAACACCACTGATTCTGCTAGCACTAAAGCCTTTAATTTCTGCGTTTCTCTCTTACTCAGATTATTTTTATTAATTGGAAAATTTTCAACAGAGTTAACAAAGGAAGGTCGTTAACAAATGAAAAAGAACCACAGCCTTGGAGGATTACTTTATTATGTACAAGTCTTGAAAAGTGTTCTCAATATTTTCAATAATCTCTAAACAAATTAACAAGTTTTTAACTGAATATTAAAAACAGCGGATCACTGTCGATCCAATATTAAAAAACTCTGAACATGGCTCTGACCTTTCTAACTAATCTTATTATTATTTTTGTTATTATAAGCAAAGTCTATGAGTCTTTAATTTACAAACTATATTTAATATGGCACCTTAATTGCTTTTGATGTTCTATAGAAAGTTCTAAAAATAGTGATGGTTATCCTTTATAAACAATGCTTTCGAATATTTCCTGTAACTTTTAATGTACCACAAGTTTCTGTGTCTTTTTTTTCAAATGTATATTATTGGTCTTCTTAATAACCTTCCTTAGCTTAGAGTAAGCAACTGATCTTGATCTTCTCTCACCTGTAACAATCTAGGGTCTGCAGTGACTTGAACCTTTATTTCAAAAAATAAAAACGAAAACAAAAACTACAAAACAAAAAGGCAAACACAAAAACAAAAGTAAAAAAAAAAAAAACAATCTTTAGTTATTTTTTGCAAAAAAAGGCATAAAAAATAGGTAGCAATTTATTTTTGTTTTAATTAGTTCTTTTTATTATTATTTCATACACTTTTCAAACTTTTTTTCTTTTCATTTGGTAATATGCTTTTAAATGATTTTTTTGTTTTGTTTTTGTCTTTGTTTTGTTAAATCTATTTGTTCATTTCATTCCATTATTCATTTTCTTGTTTTTTTTATTCTTTAATCTTTTTGTTAGTTTATACCATTGAATATTTTTCTTATTTTTTATTTTTAAATCATCTTTTTTATTCTTTAAAATAAATTCCTTTGTTTTTTGTTTTCACTGTTGATTTTAACTGTTTATTTAAACCGCTTATTTATTTTAACTGTTTTATTTTAAGTGATTTTAACTGTTTATTTTTATCAATTATTTTAACTGTTGTTTTCAAAAAACTTTTATTTGTCTAGTTTTTATCCAATTATCAGAGCTTTTGATAACTGGATAAAAGCTTTTGATAATTGGAATTCTTTCTTAATTATGTTTTCTGAACTCAAACAATTTACAAGTTTTTTAGTCTGATCCAAGTCTTCTATTGCTTTTTCTTTTTTTACCATTTTAGCTTAAATTTTTGCCTACCAAAAATGTATAAAAAATTTGAACAAACTCCTAATTTCAGAACTATTATTTCTTCCATATGCCTATAATTATAAATTAGCTAAATACTTAAGTACATTAGTCAAACCGTGTATTGATCACTAAAGGATTCCTTTACACTTCTTGAAGAATTAAAACTACACAATTTCAGTTTATTCACTAACATTCCGTTGGAAGTTTTTTTAACTCGTTGATAACATAACTTTTAAACTATGCTTGAATTTTGATGTACACTTCATTTTCATCAATTTAAATCAATTCAAAGAGACCATTGGATTAGCGGTTTCTAAAATATTAAATAAAAATCTGGAACTTAAAATTTCTAATAATAATTTTAAAAAATTATTTAGGTTTGCAACATGTAATTCTCATTTTTTATTTTGTGGTAAATATTATGATCAAATTGATGGTGTAGCTATAAGGTCTCACTTGTTTCTGTTTTAGCCAATTTATTCATTGAAAGTAATTATTTAAATTAATTTAAAGTGAATAAACCTTTATCTAATAAAAGATATGTAGATGATATTTTTGCATCATTTTACTAAAAACCAATAGTATAATTTTTCTAGAGTATTTAAATTCTATACATCCTAATATCAAACTTACATGTGAACATGAACAAATGAGAGCACTACAGTGCACACTAGTTTAACACATACATCAACAATGCATAAACTCATCATGTGTGTGAATGCACAGTAGTTCAACACATACATCAATGCATAAATTCATTATTTGTATGAATGCACAGTAGCTCAACATGTACATCAATCCATAAACTCATTATGTGTGTGAGTGCACACTAGTTCAACACATACATCAATGCATAAATTCATCTTGTGTCATTATTAGAATTATAACTGAATTATTGTTTTTTGAAAAAGCTTCGCTCAAAACGCCTGTTTAAAAAACAGCGGACAGATAAATCAGACAATCAAGTATCTTTAACATCATGTCAATCTGTAAAAGTAAGAGGAAATTCTACTTCATTTATTTTGTCTAAGAAATATATATATATATATATATATGTATATATATATATATATATATATATATATATATATATATATATATATATATATATATATATATATATATGTATATATATATATATATATATGTATTTATATATATATATATATATATATATATATATATATATATATATATATATATATATATATATATATATATATATACATATATATATATATATATATATATATATATATATATATATTTATATAAATATATGCTGCAGAAGTATTTGAATTTCTTTTTTCATAACTTATGTACCTATTTTTAGTATATCTGGACATATTGTTTTTATATTTTTTTATATTTTGCACTTATAAATCATAAATTTAAATGTAATCTTTAAATAATGTTTAAGAATGGTAGACAGACCTAGTGTGGCCTTTAAAATATTCATAGATTTCAGTATATAATAAATGCACAAATGAAATGGTCATTAATTTAGCTTATAGAAAAAGGAAATTGTAATCTTTTTCTTTCGACTTATGACCTTTTTTTCTATTTTTTTAAAAGTATATTTCTTAAAATATTTTTCTAAAAGGCAAAACTTTTTAATTAGTTTTAGTTAATATTAACCAATACTTAAAAAAGTTTCACTTTCAAGTTAAACTGAACTAGTGGTCAAAATGAATTTTCAATTCATTAAAAAAATTTATTAATTACTATAAAAAGTTTTATTAAAAGTATAAATTATACAAATATTTAATAAAAAATACCTTTCAAAAGTTTCACAGCAACATTAATAACAGAATCTTCTTTGATATCAAACATAAATGATTTATGGTTAGCTTTCCCTGTTTTAGAAATATCCTTTACACTTATTTTAGCTACAAAGACAGTACCAAAAGCTCCTTCGCCAATTTTATTTTCTAAACTGATACTTTCAGGGAAAATCTCCCAATCATCTTTTGGTAATAAATCAAAACCAATGCAGTTTCTAAAACAGACCAATACTTAAGTTAATTCTCTGCAATATTCAGGTTAATAACAATCTTTATATAATAAAAATGTTAAAAACACCATTTTTAATTTAAATATATATATATATATATATATATATATATATATATATATATATATATATATATATATATATATATATATGTATATATATATATATAAATATATACATAAATATATATATATATATATATATATATATATATATATATATATATATATATATATATATATATATATATATATATATATAAATTGCTAAACGATCTATTGAGCACAGTTGAAATAAATATTTAAATAAAATTAACAACACTTTTAAAATGTTTAATATACATGTTTCGAACTACATAGTTCATCATCAGTAAAATTTACAAAAATGATTAAAAAACATTTTTATAAGAGATACAAATTAATTATTTTATTACAAAAGTCTAATTAAAAATCTATTACAAAGAGTTAAAATAAAATGCTTCAGTCTCAGAACTCAATAAATAAAAATTAAAAAATAGGTTTCAAGTAGGTAAAAGAAAAAAAAAAAATAATAATTACATCAACATCATAATAGTCAAAATAGTTTATGAATTCTATGTTTGACTTATTTATTTAAACAGGGCCTTTGCCACTTTATATGCAAGCACTTCTTTATTTCTAATTCATACTCGCTTTGAAAAGAATTCAAAATAAAAAAGTAATCAGAGGAGGCTTTCTTTCGACACTATGTTTTTCATTAAAAGATGAAAAATATAAGACTTTTTATCTTCCTTAAAATGTTTATCAATGGGTTGTGAAAAGTTTTGGACAGGCTGTCCTATGTAGCAAAGATTACAGTTAATCCAATTAAATTTGTAAACAATGTCTGATTTATTATTTCTTGAAAGTAAGACTCTTAGTGAAAAGTATTACTTAATTTTAAAAGAAGAAAATGATAATTTTATAATTAAATCTTTTTTTAATAAATTTTTAGTTAATTAATTTTGTTTTGAATATTTCTAAAACTATCACCAATATATGGCAACCTAAAATATTTATAATTAAGTGATTTGTTGTTGTTGAATTTAGATGTACTAAATTTTATATTTAAATAGTTGTTTATACATTTATCAATAAGTTGAATTGGGTACTGATTTTTTAATTAGATCGCTTTTAGGTTATTAACATTATTATGGTAACCAAACCAGATGTTATTAATTTTAAATCAACAGTCAGTAAGAGTTTTAACTAGCCCAATTTTGTAGCTAATTGTAATGTGTTTTATTAATATATATATATATATATATATATATATATATATATATATATATATATATATATATATATATATATATATATATATATATATATATATATATATATATATATATATATATATATATATATATTACAGGGCCTATTCTAAGAAAAAAATTGGGGCGGTGGTACCCCCTTGTTTTGACAGAATTTAGCAAAAAATTTAGGTTATATTTGATATTTGCCATAAAAATTGTAAAAATACCATAAAAAAGCTAAAAAAAAAAAAAAGGTTGTCAAATTTTAATTTGGGCTAATAACACTACCCTCTGGTACTCCTGTTAAAATTTCTGAAATTGTTGATTACAAAAGAAACAAAATTCTTTTGATTATGAACGTATAAAGACAGCCATTCTATTTATTTATTTTTTGCTAGCTCAGTTAGAAGTTTGTGATCAATAGTACCAAAGGCTACTGATATGTTTAGAGAGAGAAGGATAGTATTTGATACATTTTCAATCTTAGATAAATTTTCATTGCAAATCTGCAGATGTCTCACAACCTGCATTTTTGTAGCGTTGTCCACCAATAAGGCATATTTTTTGTAATTATGTTCTAGTTTTTAACATTGAGTTTTACTTTTCTAGGCATCTGCTAATAGCTATTTATCTTTGTGCATACAAAGTCTTTTTACATATTTCAGGATTGTTGCCTATCTATCAAGAACAATTGTAATGTTTTTATTTGTTACGCAAAATTGTCAAGAGTCAGTGAAGTGCAATATGGCATTATTTGAAGTTTGATTATAAAGCGTGATACATCTAATTGTGAGAATTTTGTTTAGAAATCCAAACAGTTTTACTTTTCAAAGTTTGATGCTGTAATACAGAGTTAATCTTTTAATGGTCTGAAATACTCATTACAAGGTCAAGTAGATTAGCAGTACTAGTAATTGAAGATATGTGAGTTGGAGTCTGAACCTGTTGTATTATATTGGAGGTTGAAAGAACATCAGTAAGATGCAAGTCTACAGTTGTTGGACTAGTACCTGAACAGTTAAAATTGATACACAATTAAACTTCACCAGAAATAGTTTGAAGTTCTTCCAAGAGTTTGTACAATTTTGAAAAAAAAAATCAGTTGAAATAATAAGATATGATCTTTAAATTGAAATGATGTTATATACGCTATTTACTAAACTTGTTTTTGTGGCTATACATTCTTAGGATTGGCAGGTGGATGACAGTAACAAGGGTTTGATACTTAGGTAGTCTCTGTAAACAATATCTACACCCACTCCATGATGGTCTGTCAACAATATTGAATTGTTTTTTGAATCCTGTTGACACCATACTATCTCAAAATGCAGGAGGGTCATATGATTTTATCTATGTCTCAGTGACTATGAAAACACCTAAAGACTAATTACAAATAGTGTCATGAATGATGGCAGATTTAATTTTAGCAGATTGAGCATTTTAGATACCTTATATTGTATTTATATTATAAAACTATACCTTATATTGTATTATATTACATTTACCAAACATTTATATTGTAACTTTTAAGATTTATATTTGTAGTTTTAATAAGTATGACAGAGCATCTCATTTGATTGTTTAATACAGAGATGTCACTATTGACTTCAAGTTTTGTGGGCATCAGCAGCTGTTTTTGGATCAATAAACAGATGTTTTTCTTTGCTATTGAATAGTCAAGACTGTGTAAAATCAACGCAGCGAACCTGGTTGCTGCAGATGACAAATCTAAAGAGCTTGTCAAGATTACTGTTTTTATGTCATCATTAGCTTCTTTTAATAATCTATAAAACGTGGCCCCATTGTCACTCATTCAATCTTGAAGAGACACCAACAAATATATTTTTTTATTTGAGTTAAAATAATTGACATTTAATGATTTTATAAAATCTTGAACTGTCTTGACTTCTTTCTCAATTTTTTCAGAAAGATGACTCTTGCTTGAATAAACACCAATAAATATAGCTTTTTGACTTATTTTTGCTAATTTTCAAGTTTTCTTATACTGCTTTAATTATTGCAAGATTTTGAAGTGAAAATTTTGAAATTATTGCATCATCATTTACCAAACATTTGGTAAGTGATGATATATTGTCCAGATATAAAGATGTACTAACTGAGTGTTATTTTTTTCTGTCAAATTTTCTAACTTTTTTGGTTAGTTCACTTAAAACATTATCTTTATTTGCTTATAACTTATAAAATTAACTATCTTTATATTTAACAGGACCAATTCAATATAAAAGCATCAATATTTTTGTCAGTATTCACAGTTTTGACAGTATCATGTATCATATGTTTTTGACAGTATGGTGTTTTTTTGTATTCATTTTATTGCTAAAGAATTGTTTATGGTTGGCAAAATATTTTTTTCATCCACCCTTTGTTAAGCTAAATCTCTGTTATGAGGAAACAGCTCATTTATATACTAAGTTTTATTTCGGATTTTTTAATTATTTAGTAAACGATTATTGTAACTTTTTCTAATTCTTTTAAACTTTTTTGTGGAATTATAACTAACTGCTAACTGTAGCTAAAAAATTTAGTTCATAGATAAAATTAAAAAAGATATAAAGCTTTTTAAAAATATTGGCTTTTAAATCAAAATAAGCAAAAATTAAAAAACCTCTCTGAAAACTACTTTTCAAGAAAGCAATTGATAAATTATTTTATATTAATATTAACTCAAATCATCCACCACAAGTTCTAAAACAAATCCCAGTTTTAATTAATAACAGGCTAAAAAATTCCTGACATAAAAATGTATTTAATAACACTAAATGAATTTACGAAAATACTCTTAGAAAAAGGGAATTTCAAAAATTAAACTGAAAACTTGACCCCCCCCCCCAAAAAAAAAAAAAAAAAAAAAAAAAAAAAATACAAAAAACTATATATGTAATTTGGTTCAAATTTGGCAAAAATATTTCAACTAATATAAGAAAAGTGTTTTTAAATTCGGTCAATAAACACTTTCTGCCCTCTGATAGATTACAAAATTTTTTTTAACTGAAATACAATTAAAGTTAGCTAAAGTTGCACAAAAAAAAAAAGAAAAGAATTATAAATGGTCACAACAATGAATTACTAAATAAAAAAAAATCTTAAATAAAAAAAACAACAAAAAGTTGTAATAGTAAACAAAAAAAATTGCCAATGAGTGGAAATGTTTATCAAAAAATGTGTTAGATAAATGTGTTGTTTCCTCTAAAAATGTACCAAATAAACAATATATTGGCTTAACAGAGGGTGTATGGAAAAAATATTTAGCCAACCATAAACAATCCTCTAAAAATAAAAAGTATTCAAAAGATAACATGCTGTCAAAATACATATGGGAATTGAAAGATAAATTTATTGATGCTTTTGTATTGAATCGGTCCATCCTTAAAACAGCACCTGCATATATTAATATTTCCAAAAAATGCATATTATGTCTACAAGAAAAATTTTAAATAATTACACACGCAAACCAAGAATGTTTATTAACAAAAAATCGGAATTAATTTCTAAATGCAGGTATAAAAATTAGTTGTTGTTGATACATTAGTTGATGAAAATAAGTTGCTGTTAATCCATTGACATTTTTATCACTATAGCTTTTGTATGTAAAATGATTTCCTGCTCTTCTACACCTTGTTGCCCGTACAAAACATACCTGTTATAGTCTTGCAGAAATTCTAGATAACTACCTCCCATTAGTCTGCTTTCTACCACAAGCAAGGTTTTTGAGTCTTTAATTAACAAACACCTAATCTTGAATCTAATGACTTTCTGATCATCAAAATGAATTTCAATCTTCTTGTTCTTATTTCTTAACGGTAATAATAACTCATAGCTTTTAACATGCATTAGATGGATGCGAAGAGGTTAAGGTTCTCGACATTTCTAAAGCCTTTAATATATTTTAGCATGCTATTCTTTTTCATAATTCTTATGGTAACATATTTTATACTATTAAATCCTTCTTTATCAATCATAGTTTAAAAGTTATCCTCTATAGACAGCACTCTTCTTTATTTCCTGTAATTTTCGGGGATCATCAAAGTTCTGTCTATGGCCCTATACTTTTTTTTTAATTTACATTAATGCTTTCCAAGAAATGTATAAGCCAACTTATATTTTTAATTTACATTAATGTTTTCCAAGAAACGTATAAGCCAACTTTCAGATTTCTTTCCAAGAAATGTATAAGCCAACTTTCAGATTTCTTTCCAATAAATGTATAAGCCAACTTTCAGATGTTATCAAATAAAGTATTATATTAACTGCCTTATTTTATAAACTTAAACTAAATAAAAATTTAAAATTATTCAAAAACTATTAAAGTGTAACCATTTTATTAGAATACTTTCATAATTTTTTTATGTAAATATATGCATTAAGTTAATATGAAACAAAAACTTTTGTTACTTCTCATAGATTTCAAATCAAGTCTAAATCAAGCATAAACTGTATGTAATCATCCTTTAATAAAAAAAAAAAGTGAACAACATAAATGTTTCTCACTCAATTTTATGAATTTCAGGTCTCCATATTGATTGCAGAGATTTAACTTTTTTTCTATGAATTCTCAAAACAACAACAACAACAGATATAGTTAGAAAAAATAAAACTGGAGCCAATATCGCAACTATGATTATGTAGAGTTTGTCTAAAAAACAAACAAATCGTTTGTTAAATTCAAGAAGTAATATTTTATCAAATAACTAATTTAATCATGCTTATGCAATAAAACGTATCTGTTTAAAAAAATATATATTGCTATTACAAAAAAAAATTTCAATAGAAAATTATAAACATAATAGAAGAAAAAAATAATATTAAATTTTCAGAATGAATTTAATTAAATAATTATTCAACTTAATCAAATAACTTACTGTTTACAGATGATAAAGATGGTGACACTAAAAATAATTAAATAACAATTTGTTTTAAAAGTCTTTAATACATTTTTAATATTTCAATCACATTTTAATAGTTTAGTTTTCAAAAAAATCTTTCTAATTAAAATTAATACTTTATTACTTATAATGACTTTAATAAAATAAACAAAATTTACCGTCTTGAGAATTTTGTGAGAACAACATCACTAAAAAAACAATAACAATTTAATAAATAATTAGCTTATGTCAAAGTCTAATTAAAAAAGAATAAATAAGTTTTTTATTTGAACATGGCTATCAATTGTAGCTTAATTGCTCAAAAATGTTTATCAGCTCATAACTATAAAGACAATTGTTTACTAAATCAAGTTACAAATTATTGAAATGAGTTGCCTGAAAAGGAAGTGCTCAATTGTTTAACAAATTCCTTCAATGTAAGACACAATCAAAAAGAGTAAATGTATTAAAGACTCAGAGTGTGTCAGAATGACCTCAGAGTGTGCTAAAAAATTTACTTGTAATAAAACTAATCACAAAATAAACTAAGTTATTTATTTGAGAATAAAAATTGTATATATATATATATATATATATATATATATATATATATATATATATATATATATATATATATATATATATATATATATATATATATATATATATATATATATATATATATAAGTAAATAGTAAATATAAAAATAATTTTATTATAATTGAATTGAAAATTTAAATAATAATAAAACATTTTTATAAGAAAATATTAATATATTGAAATGAAAAATTTCACAATTTATCTTTTTAAAATAACAAATGAGATATTTGATAAAAAGTTATTTTTGTATATTTACTTGTTGTTAATAAATTATTTACTTGTTGTTAATAAATTTTTTACTTGTTGTTAATAAAATATTTATATAAAATGGTCACAATTTCCACTATAAGATCTAGTACTCAAAAGACATTTGTGAAAATAAGTATGAATTTTAAGTCAATTTCCTTACCAATCACACATATATAGACAGACCAGGCATCGAACGTCAGTCCTATGAAGCAAGTGTTATAGCACTGTACCATGGCTGCTTACCAGTATTAATTTTGTATTGAATATAAATGGATTTTGAAGTGATTAAAACTTGTAATGACTTTGTAGAATTGTAAAATTATGTTTTTTATTCTAACATTATTGCCTCTAGTTTTATATATTGAAAATCCTAATAATTTGCGATTTAATATACAAAGGTTTTGTATATTAAATCCCAATGATTTGTGATTTGTTACATGTCAAGTATTTAAATATTATATACAGATACTATTAAAATATATTAGTAGTACTCCTCCTAACTCCTTGTTTATAATGGGGTAGTGGTGTAGTGGTAAGAGCGCTCGCTTTGTAAGCGAGAGGTTCGGAGTTCAACTCCCACCACGTCCCTGGAAGTACTGCGCTTAACTTAATTTCTCCGCGCAGCGGCCTTGCTTGTCAAGGTTTGTGTTTTGGAGTTAAAGAGTTGAGAGAGGGTTGTACCACAATTTACAACAAAAAAAAAAAAAAAAAAAAAAATGAGTAGCCTCCTCGACTGTAGTGGCCCCCTCGGGCCTAGGGGAGGTAAATAATAAAAAAAAAATATTTTTTCTCAATATTATATACAAATCTTAAGTATTATATTTAGATCTAAACAACATTTTTAAGTTTTCTCATAACCTTTTTCAAATGCAATTAATATTATATCAAAGAATTTTTTAGTTGCGTGCAGACAGAAAAAATTACAAAAAATAAAAACAATATTGCCTAATGCTAGCTAATCTCTTATAATCTAGGCACAATTTTTTTTAAAAACTAATAACAACAAAATTGAAAGTAAGTTTTTCTAAAATGAGTTTATAATTATATCCTTTAATTTTTGTAATATTTTTAAAATATTTTTAACAAAAAGCGTCATTAAATTTGTCAAAAATATTTTTTAAACAAAGACTATACAAAAAAGTTTTGAATTTTGTATTATAGCTGATTTTATAAAACATTCAGACTTTCATGCATTTTTCAGACATTTGAGATTTTTTTACAAAGAAAAAATGTTTTTAACTATTATTCAGTGCATGAAATTTATTATCAACACTTAAACCTATTTTTTTCAACTTTTGGAGTGTTGAGATTTACGCTAAATAGGCTTACTGTGAGGTTTGTTAGTGTTGAATTATAATAAACTTCATTTTCTTTTAATTTTATCTACTTTCTTTTAATTATACTTTAAGCCAATTCTATAACATTTGCTCCTAGTTTATAAAACAACCTTTTGCCTTTTACTGGTGTCACTTGTGTTATAGAATCAAGAAATAATATTAAAATCACTAAACTCAAGATACTATATATAAATGTAAAATAGAGGAACTTGTTGACATCAGATAGAATTATATGTTAGCAACAGATACAATGTTATGTCAAGAATAGAAAAAACTGCGAATTTCCCAATGCTTTTTTTGGAGTTTTTTTAGAACTTATTTACAATGAGGATTTATTGTTTTGTTTTACACTTAGAATTTCTACAACTAAGTTGAATACTACTGGTAATATACAACTTATAGACAATAGATTGGCTGAAATTTTAATTTATTTGCAGTTTTTAAACTTGACAGCAAATTGTAAAATCAAATTTTATTTTATCTTAATTAATGTAGTAGTTACGAAAAACAAAACAAAAATGTAATAAATAGTTTTTAATACCTTTAGTAAAATTAACAATAGGCTGGATGCTACTATCTAAAAAAAAAATAGTAAAAGTAGTTTAAAAAAATAAAAATAAATAAATAAAAAGGGCATTAGTAAAAGCAATAACAACTAAAAAAGTAATAAAAACAATTAAAGATCTGCACCCAACTTTTAGCACAATATAAATCATTTTAACAACAAATATTTATCAACATTTATCAATTATATACAAATAACAACAAAAAAAGAACGAATTCTTAAAAAATGTTGAATACTCTTATTTATTTTTTAATTTAAAAATTGATTTCATGAAATTTTACATTACTGAAATTTTAATAAATATCTTTATGTATTATAGCTATTTTAATGTATATATTTTTTGTTAAAATATTTATAAATGTTGCACAAGTTAAATAATAAAAAAAAAAAAATAATAAAAAAAGTTAATATAAAAAAATTAAACTTAAAAAACTAACATTTTTATTACAGCTAGTGTGTACCATTTTGAGAACATCATTTTTTTATACATGAGAATTAAGTAACATATTACAAATGTTTTCATATTTAAATAGAGCATACACAACTAGTCATATGTAAATAGCATTAAAGAGTGAGCAACTTTAACAAAAACATGTATATACCCCTAAAGAAACAAATAAGTAAAATCTGCAGGCTACGTAGTACAATATTAAATACTGAAAATTAACATGAATGAAATAAAAAAGGTAGTTAACAAAAGGTTTTTACAATGTCTTTAAATATAATTTTTTTTAAAAATGATTGTTATATAAGCACCATTGCTAAACAAAGATTAATCAGGAATTAGTTACTTACTTCAAAATTACTTTTCACCTATACTAAATTTAAAAAGCTTATAAAAAAAAGTGAATTTTAAAATAAAAAAAATATTTTTTTTATTAGTTATTATATATTTTATTATTAATTATTTTTATTTTATTGCTATTTAAGATTAAATCAAATAAAATCAATTTAGTAAAAATAAAACTTTGTTAAATAGGAAAAATACAACTAAAAAAGTTTAAGCTCAATCAAAAAAAAAAAAGAACCTTATTGGAATTACTACTTTTTATGACTAAAAAAGGCATTTAGCAAATTTTAGAGAGGAAATCAGTTGTAAGGGCCCAGATAAAAATAAACACAAAATAAAAAAATAAAAAAGTCTAAAAAATTACACCTAGTAGAAATTCAATTTTTACAAAACGTTATTAAGATTATAAAAATCTCTAGGCCATTGTAAAAAAAAAATAAAAATTACTTGAAATGCCATTGATAATAAAAAAGCTTTTGATTGAGCCATTTTGAGCTTCAGACCATGGATCTGATGCATATATCTTCACATCCTCAAAACACTCCGATTGGTTGTTGTTAACAGAATAGATTACATTTCCATTTATTCTGATTGTGTATAAATAAAATGAGCCTTTATAAATTTGACTTACTTCAATGTTTGTCCATTGATTTACTCCAATCGGTTCCAAGTTGAAATACCAACTATTGTAACCATTGATTGAAGCTGCAATTTGAAGATTTCCATTTTCAAAAAAAGAAATAGAAGGAACTCTATCTCCATAACGATCGTTGTCTGAACCAATAGTAAAATGAATAAGATTATGCCATCCAAGATCAAACATATAAGGAAAAACATCAAGTGAAATCAAGAATTCTTTTTCAAGCTTTGGTATCACACCAAAAATTTTTCCTTTTATTATTTTTGTTGGTATATCATTGACAATATAATCTAAAATATAAACATAATACTAAACCATAAGTTAAACCATGCACAAAATATAACAGTGAAAAATACTAATTTAAATATAACAAAATAATGCATCACTAAGAAGTGCATATCAGGACAATTTAAAGGGTTTTTAATACTTATTTATTATATATAACAATGTGTTTAAAAAAAAAAAAAATTAGAAGAATTATCTAATTATTTTTTTCATAATATTACTTACTAAATAGTTATGTACGAAAACATTGTTATGATCTGTTTTAAAAAAAACATCAATTTATTTACATAATTGCACTTATATATTATTATGAAATTTGAAATGGCATCAAACTTGCAGCAAAGATAAAAGAAAGCAAAACTAAATATGTATTGCAAAAATAAGAACTGTATGGAATAAAGTTAATTATTTTTGAAAAAGGCATACTTATTATTTATATTATTTTGGGACATGCAAAATCTTTTAGAAAAATACAGTTCTTTTATTATATATTATAAACTTTTTAGGTGAAATAAAACTTTTTACTCAGTTTTTACAAATTATTTTTATTCAATTTCTTACCTACTTTTCCATTGACGATCATAAGATTTGTGATGGAACCATTTTGAGCATTGTACCAAGGATCAGAAGCATAAACTTTCATATTTTTGAAATCTTTAGCATCAGAATTTTCAACTCTATGAATATTAACTCCATTTAAATCGACAGAAAACCAATACTTTTCACCTTGCATACTTTGATAAATTTTAACTGAAGACCATTTATTTAAGATGAGAGGAGTTGTTTCAATACAGTATGAAGCATTACCATTTACTACTGCACAAATGACAAGACAACCAGAGCCATCTTCACAAAACCAAACACCTAGATTTCTATCACCATAAGCTCCAAAATCATTTTCCAAAGTCAAATGAACAACATTGTTTAGAACTTTATTGTAAGTTAAGGGCTTTATATTAAAAGATACAGTATACCCCTTCATCAAAACAATAACAGTTCCAAGAAATACACCTCTATTCAAAATTAATTCTTTTCTTTGACTGATAAAATCTGAAAAATTAAAATTAAAATGCATTAAACTTAAAATTTTTCAAAAAAAATTTTTTTCATGATTTAATTGCTTTTAAAATAACTTATTAGTTTTTAATCATACCTGAAAATATCAACAGAAAAAATTTATTGTTAATATTATTAATGATATCTATAATTAATATTTACTAAAGTAACAATAGCAGAAATTATATAAATGTATAAATTTTATAATTTTATGCAAACAAATCTAATTTAAAATCGCATTTAGTTTGAGAGTGAAAAATAAATCAAAAAGTAATATCATAGAAACTTTTAGAACATAACTTAACTGTAAACAAAGATGCATAACAACTTGGACTCATAATAAATTTGTTTTGTTGTTGACATTGACAACTTTATAATTATATAAATTTATATATAACATATAAATATATATAAGCAAATATTATTATTCCAACATATGCTATATATATATATATATATATATATATATATATATATATATATATATATATATATATATATATATATATATATATATATATATATATATATATATATAGCAAAATTTACTTTTGACATGGTTACAAGTAACCACTATTTAAATTGAGAATTACTAAGTAATTAGAAGTTACTTAGTAACTAGAAGAGAGTTAAAAAACAAAAAAACAAACAGTTAGCAATTTTAGTCAGACTCAAGACGAGATATTTATATATATTATAGTTAAGAGTTTTTTTTTTAATAACTGTTAAAGATTTAAAAACCTTGATAATAATAATGCAAAGACTATTTGGTCCATAATTAAAAATAAGACAAGTCAAAGAACAAAAGTAACTGATTAGGGTTGTCTGTAAAACAAGTCACAAAGGAAACTATCTGGGTAAGATGTTAAAATGGACTTACATTTTAAACTCTAGCAACAGATGTTACTAGATCCAATCCATTTAGTGCAATATTATATTAAAGTCATCAATCAGTAAAATATTGGTAGATAAAGAAAAAAAAAAAGCTTGGTCAATGTGATTGAAATCAACAACAAGAAGAGTGCAGACTTGGGTGGTAGAGTAAAGTGGTTCAAAAGAACATAAATTAATAGTCATAGCATTGGAATTTTATAACAAATAGATAAATTGATACCTAAGGATTGGAACCTAATTTTACAAAAAAGATAAACTGATACCTAAGGATTGGAACCTAATTTTACAACAAATAGATAAATTGATACCTAAGCATATACATAAGTTGAACATGTAACTAATGGAGTTTTTTATGTTAATTAATTTCTAGTGCTATACTTATAACTTAAGTTATTTAAAAGCACTTAAGTCAAACATAGATAGCATTTGACACCTTGAGCAACAGTATACTATAAAGTTGACCCATTTCTGTTGACCATTTAATTCATGACTAAGAGATTCTTATTTGGCCTCAACAATGCACATTTAAAGCACTAGTAGACGAGATCTTTGCACAATAAAATTGTTAATACTCTGATATTTTACAGTCGTGGATGGAACCAGACTTTTCAAGAGCTACCACAAGAGACGAGAAAATCTTGATACGGATAAACTTTAGAACCATCAAACTGAGTTTTAAAGCTGTACCCTAGTTACCCATAGTTATCTACACTAGTTACCCATAGTTACTTAACCTAGTTATCCATAGTTATCTATCCTAGTTAGAGGATATTTAACAAAAATAAACATCAAAAATAATTTTAAAGCAAAAAATAAATTTGTTAAATGGTGTTAATTTACCAATATTCAGTAAACTTTAATAAACTAACGATTTAAATAAATAAAAACTTTTTTATTTCTTATGGAAAGTTTTTTAATGCTTAAAGAGTGATTTTAAAATTTAATTTTGACTATAATTGTAATCCTGAATTACAATCATGCACAACATAGCACTGATATTTTATAATTGTTGACAATAATGCAATAAAGCATCAGAATAGTAGGAGTTATATAAGAGTTCAAATAATCTAACAATCAGCCAGCTTTAAACCTCGAGGATTTTTTTGGTTGTTGGGTTTACTATTATAAGAAAATAAGGGAGATCTCAGTAAAATAGTACAAATGAAAAAACAATTGAAATAAAAAAATCAAACGTTAAATGTTAAAATTAAAACTTAAAAACATTTAACATTACTTATTTTGTTTATTATTAATTAAAAAATACAATAAACAACAAAAAGGAAACGAACAATCAAGACAAGTTAATATTTAATAAGTTTTAAATATTCTATTTTTAACTATTCAGTAATAATGTTGTATAATGTTAATAACTATAATTCATTATTATAATAGTTAGTAGAATAATTAGCAAAAAAGCAAGAAAAATAT